AAAAATTATCTGATAACAATACGAATACGATGGGAAAATAATTAAAACAGGATGGGCGATGTCGGTTTCCTGTGAGGAATTATGATATTTTAAAATAATAATTTATTATCGAGAAAGTTTTTTTTTGTATCTTCCTCAACTCCTAAACTACTGAACCGATTTCGATGAATATAAGTTAAAGATAGACAAAGTATAAGCCATAACATGACTTAGAAAACATCGTGCTATTAACTCTTAACCATGGAGTTGCTTGCTCGTTCTTCTCCATAAGAATCTACACTTTGGAACGAGCAAATAGCTTCACTAGAGGACTGACCAACAGACTGACATTTTTGATCCTTCTCTTACTTTCAAAAGTGCCTTAAAATCAAAGGCTTTAGCCGCCGCAAAACTATCAAAAAAATAACACTTGAACAGCCAAGAAACTTCAAAACAATAACATAATATCCATTATAAAGCTCTCCAATACAAAAGCTTAGTCCGTCGAAGGATAATTTGTATAAAAACTCCATGCAAGAGTCACGAACTCTACTCAAGAGGTGTAATTTTGACCACGCATCGCTCACGACTATGAAACACGCTCTACACCGGACGAAACGAAAGATCTGACGAAAACCGCAACTGTATTGTTTTTAACACATCCTGTATAGTTGGTTATTACTTTTAAATTACGTATCGAAGTATGGAAGGATCGTAATCTCTTTCGGCCTTATTACGAAACAAGGTTTTACTTTAGTCTAGGACTAAGCCATTGAGCCAGTTTTCGTATTTCAATTGAAGGTAGATGACAATAAGTTTCAAAATTCAAAACCCGATTCAATGGTTTAAACCTGGACTAAAGATAAACCTTGTTTTATAATAAGGGGGTTTATGTATTGGGGAAGCAAACGAGCAGACGGATTACCTGATGGTAAGCAATAAGCGCCGCCCATGGATATTTACAATACTAGGCGTACTTTAGAAGTGCCGTCGGATCACCTGATGGTGAACATCGGTTTTGGAAGTTCCGAATTTGAGGATAAGGATAAGAAATAATTTGAGGGGCAAGTATTGATTCGCGAATGTTTTTTGAACCATTCACATTAGGAGTCGCAATCCAATAAAAGAGCGACTTATTTTTTTAGTTTTGTGGATACTACTATTACTGACAAACGTGTAAATTCAGATTTTGTGCTCATTAAATAGAGAAACAATGCCTAAAATCGCGGACTGCGTATTAGTTTCTCAAAAAATAATTAAAACGCGTTGAAAGACAACGGACACCAAAGCAAACCTTAAAAAAAACAAAAAAAAAAACAAAACAAAGCAACACATGTAAAATCAAAGTAAATTAAAACAAAAGTATTAAAAACATCTGTTTCAAAACTATGAACAATTGTTTCGAAACCCGACTAAGGCAAAAACAAAAAAAAAAAGTAATTACCACGGCACTAAAATTTTGCAAGAAAAAAAAATACACCAACACCAGATGCAAGCTTCCCGATTCCCAGTCGAAAATTTTGTTAAGACCATTGAGTTCCTAACACATCTGGTCTATTGTCCGTGGTACGCCGGAAATAGGGACCAGGTTTACGGATGTAATGGCGGAACAGAGTATGGAAACATCTGGTGTCCAATGAATCTATTGTCTACAAAATTGAAATTGGTTTTGTCAAAAAAAAGTACAAAAAAATAAAGCTAGGATTATGCTAATTTGAGAAGACTTTTCAATCGCCAAATAAAACAAAGTCGCTTTCTCTGTCCCTAATTCCCTATATCCCTATGTACGCTTAAATCTTTAAAACTACGCAACGGATTTTGATGCGGCTTTTTAATAGACAGAGTCATTTAAGAGGAAGGTTCATATGTATAACAAGATCCATTTAAAAGAGGAGAAATTTAGTACCCGCATTGCCCCCGTGCAGGCCAGGACTGGTCGCTAATTATTTCACAATGATAATAATCGAGAAAAAGGTTACAATATGTAAAACTCGGTGAATGGTACATCTGTTAAAGTGACCTCTTGAAGATGATGTAAAAATTGTAATTCTGATAACACAAACAACTTCACAATGTGAAAAGATTGTATTGTAATTTCAGATCAAAACAACAGCATATGAGAGTCCATCGTTGCACTAATAGACCCAAAAAATGGTTTACCATATACTCTGCTGTTCGGAGTCTTGAAAATCACAGTTTTAAAGGTTCAGGTCTATCAGAGAAAGCTGCTGCTCCGTCTATGTCTAACGTTGTCCCTAAGTCATGTTGTTTAAGTGTGGGAGAGCCATGCTTCGGCACGAATGGGTCGGCTCGACCGGAGTGATACCACGGCCTCGCAGAAGAGCGGCGTGAAACAACCACAGCGTTGTGTTTCGCCGTGTGAGTGAGGTTACCGGAGGCCCAATCCTTCCCCACCCCCAATCCCTCCTCAATCCCTAAGCCTCCAAATCCCTAATAGGTCGGCAACACATTCATAACTCCTCTGTTGCGGGATTCCATGGGCGGCGCTGATTACTTATCATCAGGTAATCCGTCTGCTTGTTAGCCGATCAATTACATAAAAAAATCAGCTATTCAGACACCTGGGGTAACTGCATAATTAAGTTATGATATCAAATGAATCTAGACTATCACCACGACAGGACATACAAGTTCTTGCCGAATATATAATTAACATAAGAAAACATGATGCAATATAATGCAACGTGATATGAAGAGGAAAATATTTAGCTAAAAAAGTGTTGAGGAAAACATGACAATAAAATTTAGCAGATTTTTCGTCTGGGTTTATCCGTGATATCTATTTTGGAGCTTTTCTTTCCTCATTATCATAATCATCATCATCATCATCACTTATCAGTGACAAGCCCGCAATTTCATGTATATCAGCCGATTGGAAGTGATATCCACCAATCTACCTGCGCCCTATATCAGGTCATATTTCCACCTGAGCATGCTTCCAAAAATCCGCCCCTAAGATGACCCACTGACCAAAAATCTTCCTTAGCATTCTGTGTACGTACTGCCTATAACCTTTCCTCGGTAAATTGATTTTTCAACAAAAAATATTTTTCAAATCGAAACAGGAGTTCTTGAGACTAGTGCGTGCATGCGAACAAAGAAACTCTTAAGCTTTATAAGTTTGATAACGACAATAATACTAACCCCCGGTTTCCGAAAGGCCGATCAATGTTAAAATCAATTTAATCTCTTGTCAAGTCATCTGATTGGTTGACTGAATTATCAACAACCAATCAGATGACTTGACAAGATATTTAACAGGAGATTAGTTAATTTTAGCGTTGACAAGCCTTTCAGAAACCGGGTGTAAGTATACCAAAACATTAGGTACTTGGACCAATTTTTAATCACAAAGCAAGGTGCCAAAGAACAGGTGGCTAATAAATTAGAAACAATAAAAAAACAAGTGATTGAAAAACTTGTATTCGGTCTAATCATTAGAGGCAGATGGCACGCGCTACAGCCATATTTTTGTAAAGAAAAAAAACAAAACACAAAATGTTCTAAAATCGCCTTATTTGTGTCAAATATAAAAATAGATTTTATTATACTAGGTACCAAAAAAGTTGAACTTTCAATCTTGGTTATTAGAGACCCAACATCAAGACAATAGGAGCACGAACGCCGGCGTTCGCTTGGGGTTTGGTAAATTACATATGAACCGTATGAACAGGGATAACCATGGGGTTTCTGACTTCTCCTGCCCTGGTTAAGGCGAGAGGGAGTGTCAGACTCTTACTGACTATAAATCACTCCGTTCCTTCTCATGCATCAAGCCGGAGCTGCACATTTTTGCATCTACAACCACGGTAACACCAAAGAGACTCAATAACGCACTTAAGCTTCCATCGCATTCAAATCTATTAGTCATCAAGCACGCCTAATAAAAGAATCAGAAAAAAAACTGTAACAAAAAACAGCCCAGCCAATTTTGTAGGCAAAAAGTTTTTTTACCAATCTCAGTTTCTGTGATTACAATTCATGTAGCGATATGGCTGTTGATTTTTATTACTTTTCCATAATTGTTTAAAGTATAAAAAGGTTAGAATTAACTTGAAAAAAAAAGAAAATGATCCAATCCAAACTAATATTATAAATGCGAAAGTAACTCTGTCTGACTTTTCTTCACGCCTAAACTACTGGACCTATTTGTGTTAAATTTGGTACAGACATATTTTGGAACTCGAGAAAGGACATAAGATAGTTTTTAAACCAAAAGTCTGCAGGAATTCACTTCTATTCCAGGCGAACAAAGTCGCAATTAAAAACGCAAAAGTTAGTAATTACGGATGGATGTGTGTTTGTTACTCTTTCACGTGAAAACTACTGAACGGATCTAAACGAAATTTGACACAGAAATAGATTATAGTCTAGGATAACACATAGCCTACTGGTTACCCTTGTAATGCAGGGAAAGCAAAAAAAAATGGAGTTTGTAGTCTTAGGTTTTACAAGGGATTCAGAAAATAACTGTCCAAAAAATAGCTACATTTAAAAGCAATGTAAAAATGTCTATAACCCATGATGTTAAGTTCAAATATTAAAATAGTCAACAGAATATTAGCTTAGCAAACATACTTGGCATTTCGTTGTCAATACACACATATACACTTGAAAACATAGACAGAACACATTTACTCAATAATTATATGAAAACTAAGAAATAAAAAATTAACAAACTCAAAGCGACTCACAAAGAAAATGGCAAAGTATTACTTTAACAAAATCATGAGGGTACCTTTATAAGTAAGTAGATTAAAATCGTTTTAACGTAAATTTAGGGACCGTTAGAAATCCAAGCCATATCATACCGTATGTTATAACGACCATATTCGTACAAATAGACCATAAAAAGCATAACACTAATATTAAAGCCGATTTACAAACGAATAAAATTAAAAAATACTTTAAAAACAATTAATTTCGATATACCTGGGGGTATATCGAAATTAATTGTTATCAACATTTAAAAATAGATAAAAAAACCGTTAAAAACTCACCCAATCCGATTTTTTTCTTAATTTTCTTGAGGACCTTCATTTTCGATCCCTTTTTATCCTTAACAGGGGTTGTTTCTGGCTCTAAGGCCATAGGGGGAAGTACGAGCGTTTGAGGGGGCATTTGTACCCCATGGCCCGAAGCCCTAGGGCACGCGGGGCAGTGACAGGAGCCCCTAGCCTGCCTCACGCTCATACAACCACTAACGCCCATCATCGAAAAGGTTACAAATCCAATATAAACCGTCGATAACAAAAGAAAATATTATATCATAATTATTTTTAACACCGTAAAAATTAAGAGTACACGATAATTGAAAATAACGCACGATTGAGTAACGAATTAATTACGAACTCGCGATATCCATAACGCACTTTACGAACTAAGTTTGGACGTCACACGTCCACGCGCGACGCGATCCGGCGGCGGAGTGACGAGCGATGCACGTTCAACGCGAAGCAAGGGCTCTGGGAAAGCTGCGTGCGCATCTACAGCCCTTACGTCTTCTCTTTCTTTTGGCAACATTAGAGAGAGATAGATGTTAAGTAGTGGGAGAATGTCAACAGATAGGTATTTTCAGATCAGGCAGATGTAGGGGACAAAGGGATGGTCGGTGAAAAGTTAATTTCAAATGACATTTAGAAGTATGTAGTAAGTAGGTACTTGAAGCTCTTTGTTCAGTTATAAAGGTGTTAATAGGTTCGGTGGATAATATTTTTTTATTGTAACGCCAATATTAAACTCTTTGTAGGCTACCTCTTTGGTCAAGAACAACAGAGATGTAGATGCTTAGCCAGAAATTTTGAATTTCGAACAGCTTTAATAAAAAACAGTAACAGTTCTAAATTCAAAATTATTAACGTGTCGGTCGTTTCGGATTTAGATTTTTGACATAAGTTGTATTGAGTTTCTGCCAAAGGCAAAGTTTTTTTTTAAATATCCGTTTTAATTTATCCCTATAAGGGATGATTTTTCAATGGTTAGATAAAAGTTATCTGGGAAATAATTATGATGCTGTTGCGTTAGAATATTTGTCTAAGGCAGTATTTTTTTTCCACAGATAACATTTAGCTGACTATTATTATTCCTATCGGTATCGGTATTGTTATTCCTATTATCATCAATTTGTTATTTTCTGTAAAGTTTGCAATTAAATAAACCTTAATAGCTTAGTAAGTAACGTAATTTTAGAAGAATACCTTGTCCTTGCTAAGTCAATAATATTTATATCATATGATTAGCGTAATGTCGTCCATCGAACAATAATTCTATTATGTACCAAGTTAACCTGAACCACAGGTTTAGCTTGAAGAACACTTGATCAGCATTAGGCACTTATAGGCTGATGATGATGAGTGTAAATAGGTACTTTCGCCAAATAAATCTATTTGAGGTGTCCTTAGGCACTTTTCATTTTTCTTTCTATATCATCCTAATTATATATATAATAAGTAAATGTACAAAATTGAGCTTGCTGTATAAAGTGTGATCTATGTTTTTCAATAAATTTATTTTATTTTTTATTTTAATTGTGTACTTGACAATCTTGTCCATTAAAAAATTTTTAAGAACTTTCGATATCAATCACAATCGCAAATTTTCTTCTATGAATTTTGTACGGGATTGTGTGTTGAGATTGAGACACGTCTTTTTTTTCTCGATAGTAGATATCTTAAAATCGATTAAAAATAGGATATCAAGTTTTCCAATTTCAATCAATTGTAACGTATGAAAGAAAGTGTGAAAGCAATAATTTGTAATATTGTATTGTATTTTAAAATCCAAATATTATTTACTAGCTACTCTCGCGCGGTTTCATGCGCTGCTCGGCTCCATTTAATTGTAACGTGATATTTTATAGCATATAGCACTCAGGAACATTGTAAATATCTATCAGTGCAAGAATTTTGGAAATCCGCCCAGCGCGGTAGCGGTTCCAAAGATTACCCCTATATACAAATGTACAAATATTACCTCTTTATAATATCAGTATAAACTAGGGATCGTCCGCGGCTCCGCCTGTGTAGATGTCATTTTACATTTTTTCAAGTTCCCGCTTTTCTGATGAAAATTTTCCTGATATTTCTTAACTATAAACCTCACGGAGCCCGAGACCTTTCCAACGTATTCAAAACCGTGGAAATCGGTTCGTGCGTTCTGGAGTTACAGCGGCAGGAAGGAAAACCCGACTTAATTAAATATACCTACTAGTAGACTAACTTAGTTCGCGTGGAATAGTGACTTCCTGCAGATTTTTTAATTTAAAAACTATCCTATGTCCTTTCTCGAGTTCCAAACTATGTCTGTACCAAATTTCACACAAGGTTCAGTAGTTTAAGCGTGTAGAAAAGACAGACTGAAAAATAGAGTTACTTTCGCATTTATAATATTAGTCATAGATAACCAAAGGCCCCTTAAAAGACAAAGAACCAAGAATCACCCTAGACTAGACTAAGTAGAAAGTTCAATATTATTATTTTTATTATCAACACAAAATATGTCGTCGCGAGCCACATTGCGAATTGCCAGATGCGCCGACGCACCTTGCGTTGTGCGCATGCGTCTTTAAGCCCCTCCCACTAATTTCTTTCGCATCTGTCAAGTATTTTTTTTTTAATAGATTAGGATTAAGGTATGGGTGACCTTTGTTCCATTGTTGAGTACTGTTATGTTATCGTTTTAATTATCTGTGGCGAGCTAGAGGTGTGAGGTTTGATGTTCGGGGTAGTAAAGGGTTTTTCTTTTGTGTTGGGAGTCTGGTCGTGTTTTTGTCATTTTTTTACGTAATAAATCAGCAAACGAGTGCACACGGCACGAATGGGTCGGCTCGACCGGAGTGATACCACGGCCTCACAGAAAACCGGCGTGAAACAACCACAGCGTTGTGTTTCGTGTGAGTGAGGTTACCGGAGGCCCAGTCCTTCCCGTCCCTCAATCCCGCTCTAATACCTAAATGTCCAAAAGGTCATAATCCCTAAAAGGTCGGCTACGCACTCGTAACTCTTCTGTTGCGGGTCCACGGGCGGCGCCGATTGCATACCATCAGGTAACCCGTCAGCTCGTTTGCAGACCTATCCCATAAAAAATATCAGGGACTTAAGGCACGATGAATCATGCCGTCTGATTAGTGCTTAAGCTAACATCCATCTTGAATAACCATGCCATACATTCTATAGACATATAAAAAACTATTTGATTGTAGCGGGTGGTTTTATAGCCTATGGCACTCGGGAACATTGTAGCTATCTATCAGTGAAAGAATTTTTGTAATCCGACCAGTGGTTCCAAAGATTACCCCCTACATACAAACATGTGGAGACCACGTCTGGGCAAACGTAGTGTAGGGCGCCCTCCAGCTAGGTGGACTGACGGCATCCGCAGGGTGGCTGGCAGTGGTTGGATGAGAAGAGCTGAACATCGAGCTCAGTGGCGTGCTATTGGGGAGGCCTACGTCTAGCAGTGGACGACATCAGGCTGATGATGATGTTGATACAAACATACAAACTTACAAATTTTACCTCTTTATAATATTAGTAGAGATAGGAAATTTATTTACAATTAACACTCGTATTCAATTAGGATGGACCCTAACACCAGCCACAGCTTCCTTTGCCGAAGGAAACTATTAACCTTATGACATGATTCATTATTGTTTAATTGGAGAGATTAAACTGATCCCATTATGTGATGACATCACTGCTTGTGACAATATGAAAGCAGGTGCTATGGTAAGATGGATGATTTTAATTCGTTTAAGATGAAAAGGATTTACATGGGCATCTCTTTTGATTAAAAAAAATAAATAAAAAATGTAAAAACCCCCGACAAAAAAACTACTGTCGCGTTTGGGGACCACTTCGATTTTTTTATTATCTACTATTTTTTACGATTTGTAGATATTTTATATTGCTAAGAGCATTCTCGATTAAGTCATCAACATTCCCTTTCAGTGCGCTTTCATTTGAGACCCCACTCGAGGATATTTTCAGGCTTTCGTTTATCCTTACCCACTTACCCTTACCCCCCCAAATACTTCTAAACGGCTCAACCGATTTTCATGTCTATGAAGACTCGCACGTAAGTCACCTTTAATACAATAAAAAAACTAAATTGATGTCGCTTCATCTGTTCAGGCTCCAGAATGCCACAGACAGACAGACTGACACGTCAAACTTATAAACTCCTATTTTTCCGTCGGGGTTTAAAAATCGATTTGGTTTTTTTAGAAAAAACAATGAATTCAATTTTGCAAATTGACCTACTATCATCCAAACTAATATTCTAAATGCGAAAGTAACTCTTTCTGTCTGTCTTTTCTACACGCCTAAACTACTGAACCGATTTCTGTGAAATTTGGTACAGACATAGTTTGGAACTCGAGAAAAGACATAGGATAGTTTTATGCGCGAACGGAGTCGCGGGCAAAATAAGTGTAAAACAAATATTTCATTTCATGAAAATAGAAAGCTAAATATAACGTTACATGTCTCATTTTTATCATCATCATTATCATCATCATCATCAGGCCACTTCCGTCCACTGCTAAGCAAAGGCCTCTTTTGTTTAATTGTTGAAAAATAAAACAAGAAAATAAACTTCGAAAGACAACGAAACAAAATCTATATTTATAACAAAGAACATTCAGTCCATGATTACATTAAAACAAAATAAAATAAAACAATTCAAGTAATGTCGGTTAGTTTTAGCATTCACATCTCGAGAACGACTGGACAGATAATCATAACTTAGCTTTGTTGGATTAGGATGTTCTGTATTGAATGTCTGAAATACGGTCAAAGTTCGCTTCGGCACGAATGGGTCGGGTGATACCAACGGCCTGACTGAAAACGATTGGATTGTATTTCAAACTGTGAGTGAGGTTACATGAGGCACAATCTTGCCCTAATTCCTTAATCCTCCTGGATGTTTGGGATTCCACCAAGGCTGTGTTTTCGCTATGTCAGAGACGGAGAAATGGAGAACACTGGGTTTTTTTTTGTGAGGGGAAAATCATCAAATGACTTCTCACGCCCAGGGCCGAGCGGGAGGGAGTGTCAGACTCTTACTTATTAAAAACCGCCCTGTTCCTTCTCCTGCTCTGGGCCGAGGTCGCGGTGCCTCATTGCGCTTACCCCGCAACCCCGGCTGAACATCAGCCCTTTAGGGCCCCGTCTGTGGTGGTCTATTGGCTGAGAACACTGGGTACTACAGCC